CTTAAGCCCCTCCCCTCTCACTTGGAGTATGCATTTCTCCGGGAGGGGAATAAGCTCCTGGTCATTATTAGCTCGGATCTGACGCCCGAGCAGAAGAGCAGGCTGGTAGCTCTGCTGCAGAAGTATGCCCGGGCCATGGCATGGAAGATCACAGACATCAGAGGCATTAGCCCATCCTTCTGCTCCCACAGAATTCTGATGAAGGATGAGGTTAAGCCAGTCAGGCAGCCGCAGAGGAGATTGTCTCCTAACTTGGAGGCAGTGGTCCGGGCAGAGATTGTGAAGCTCATGGATGCGGGGATCATCTTTGCTATATCTGATAGCAAGTGGGTCAGCCCCACTTAGGTGGTCCCGAAGAAAGGCGGGATGACCGTGGTCCCAAATGAGAAGAATGAGCTGATCCCGATGCGGACTATGACCGGCTAGAGGGTCTGCATCGATTACCGGCGCCTGAACGACGCCACCAGGAAAGATAATTTTCCCCTACCTTTCATTGATCAGATGCTGGAGAGGTTGGCTGGTCATGAGTTTTATTGCTTCCTGGATGGCATGTCTGGGTATTTCCAGATTCCTATTTCACCAGAGGATCAGGCGAAGACCCCATTCACTTGCCCCTTCGGCACTTTTGCTTACCGGAGGATTCCATTCGGGCTGTGTAATGCACCAGCGACCTTCCAGAGATGCATGATGGCGATCTTTGACCGACTGGTCGGAGAGATCATGGAAGTCTTCATGGATGACTTCTCGATTTATGGAGACTCCTTCACTCATTGTCTCCATAAACTAGAACTCGTTCTGAAGAGGTGCGAGGAGACTAATCTGGCACTCAGCTGGGAGAAGTGCCATTTTATGGTCCGTGAGGGGATTGTGCTCGGGCACAAGATCTCCAAGAAGGGGATTGAGGTGGATCGCGCGAAGATTGAGACGATCAGTAAGCTATCTCCTCCCATTTCTGTAAAGGGGATTCGCAGCTTTCTGGGTCATGCAGGCTTCTACCGGCGTTTCATTAAAGATTTCTCGAAGATTGCCCTGCCTCTGACCAAGCTGCTGGAGAAGGATGCACCACTCCAGTTCACTCCTGAGTGCACACCTGCATTCGAGACTCTTAAGGAGAAGCTTACCCATGCACCTATCATGGTGACTCCTGACTGGTCTCTTCCTTTTGAGCTGATGTGCGATGCGAGTGACTATGTAGTCGGAGCAGTTTTGGGTCAAAGACGCGGGAAGCACTTCCAGCCCATATACTACGCGTCAAAGACCCTGAATGATGCACAGGAGAATTACACCACCACTGAGAAGGAGATCCTCGCTGTGGTGTATGCATTTGATAAGTTCCGACCCTATCTGGTGCTCTCCCATGTGGTGGTCTACACTGACCACTCGGCGATTCGCTACCTGATGCGCAAGGCTGATGCAAAGCCTAGGCTCATCCGCTGGATCCTGCTACTGCAGGAATTCGATATCGAAATCCGGGACAAGAAGGGAGCCGAGAATGTTGCTGCAGATCATCTTTCACGATTGGAAGCCCCTCCGGTGGACAACTTCGTGGAAGAGATCAATGACTCCTTCCCGGGTGAGAGATTGCTGGCGATGACACTGGTGGAAAGCGTGGTCCCTTGGTATTCTGACTTTGCCAATTTTCTGGTGGGCAAGCGGCTACCACAGGGGATGGCCACTCATGCAAAGCGCAAGTTCTTCTCCGACCTGAAGCATTACTTCTGGGAGGATCCTTACCTCTTCAGGGTCGGAACAGATGGCGTGATCCGGCGCTGTGTCATGGAGCACAAGATGGGAGACATCCTGTCTCAATGCCACGAGGGGGCCTACTGGAGGTCACCATGGAGGAAACTGCACGGCGCGGAAGGTGCTACAGTCGGGCTTCTATTGGCCCTCACTCTTTAAGGATGCAGACACCTTCACACGACATTGCAACCGCTGCCAAAGGTCAGGTAACATTTCTGCCCGGGATGAGATGCCCCAACATATTTCTGTCATTTGTGAAATTTTTGATGTTTGGGGTATCGATTTCATGGGCCATTCCCTCCATCTTTTGGCAATCTGTACATATTGGTTGCAGTGGACTACGTCTCGAGGTGGGCAGAAGCTCAAGCCATGCCCACCAATGATGCAAGACGGGTCTGCTCATTTCTGAAGCAGCTGTTCTTCCGGTTCGGGACACCCGGCGCCATCATTAGTGATAGAGGAACCCATTTTCAAGGGCAATTCACTAAATTCCTCTCTCGCTATGGTGTTAAGCATAAGGTGTCGGTGGCTTACCACCCCCAGTCAAATTGGCAAGCCGAGCTGACAAACCGGGAACTTAAACGAATAATTGAAAAGACGGTGGATCAGTCCCGCAAGGATTGGTCCACCAAGCTCGATGATGCTCTTTGGGCATATAGGACGGCCTATAAAAACCCGATTGGCACCTCTCCCTATAGGCTTGTCTACGGGAAGGCGTGTCATCTGCCAGTAGAGCTAGCGCACAAGGCCTTCTGGGCCATTAAGCTGCTAAACCTGGATTTGAGTGTTGCAGGTACTGAACGTAAGTTGCAGCTGCTGGAGTTGGAGGAATGGAGTTACCACGCCTACGAGAATACCCTGCTCTACAAAGAGCAAACCAAGCGTCTCTACGACGCTCGGTTAAGGGGCCCGAAGGAGTTTCAGGTAGGTGATCGTGTTATGCTCTTCAATGCACACCTGAAACTCTTCCCGGGCAAGCTACGTTCGAGGTGGTCGGGACCCTTCACGGTCACCCAAGTTTTCCCGCACGGTGTGCTGGAGATCAGCAATGCTCAAACTGAGCCATTCAAGGTGAATGGCCACCTCCTAAAGTTGTACTTGGGAGGTACTGTCGAGCGCAGAGCTGCTGATCAAGCTCAAGGACCCTTAGTTCCTCTACTGGCGTCCAGCTAAAAGACGGTAAAGAAGCGCTTGTGGGAAGGCAACCCCACCTAGGTTTGCATTTTCTTACCTTTTTCCTTTTGATATTTTTTGTTTTTGAGTCTTGAGGTGTTGTTCACGAGTCGTATGTCATTTTTGAGTGAAAACAGGTCAAATTCGGAGTTCTGGCAGCCCACACGGCCAGCCCTGAAAGTCACACGACCGTATGGAATTGGGTTTTGGCCATGTGGATTCCCTGGAATTTTCACACGGGCAAGAGGGGTCCCTCACACGGCCGTGTGGATTGGCCCCCTGCCCGTGTGAAGCCTCGACAATTTCCACACGGCCAATTGTGCTTTTCACACGGCCGTGTGGAAATCATCAGCCTGACCGTGTCGGCCCACACGGGCACCTGTGCACCTCACACGGCCATGTGAGCTTGCCCGTGTGGCCGAGCCAGCCTTTATAAATTTGGCCGACACGGCCGCGTGGTCAGAAAATCCCAATCCTCTCGCCGGAATCCTCTCCCCCTCGCTGGAAAACCGCGACCTTTCCCCCTCTTTGGCAATTTTCGGCCATTTTTGGTCGGTTTTTTACCAAACCACCTCCACACCCATCCTTCTCTCCCCATTTTCGGCCTATCCCTCGACTTTGAGGCGATTTGAGCCGATTTTGAGTCGCCAGAGGCGATTTCCGGTGAGACTCCGGTGAGGCTCCGACTAGCACTTCCGGGCAGATTTTGGCCTCTTCTTTGCTTCCATTGCATACCCCTCATCATCCCCTACACCTCTACTTGTGTCTCCAGGTTTGATTTTGACCTTAACCTTGTGATTTATGGGGAATTGGGTGTTAGGGTGTATGTTTAGAGAACAACTTTGTGTTGTGTGATTTGTGTGCAATTGATTGAGGGGAATGCTTGGTTTATGTGTGAATGAGGTTGGGCAATATCCCTCTTGCGTGATTGAGCCCTTGTGTGCTATGAATTTGTCAATTTCATGCTTAACTTAATAGTGCACAAAAGGTGTTCGATGAAATTCCTGTTTTTCATGTCATGTTGTGGGAGCCAGTTGGGGCACTTAATGATGTGCTTTGATGGTGTGTTTGCTATGGATGTGAACCTTGAGTTGCCTACTTTTTCATGGATGTGCACCCCCACCCCGATTATGCTTGTGTGATCGAGTTTTTGACCCCCGAACTATGGATGAAACCATGGTTCTGCTGTTTTATGTTCTTAAGTGTGGGGGTGTGATTAACCTTTCTTTTGGCTCTTTTGGTTCCACTCTGGGTTGTTCTTTTGCAGGACCATGACGAAACCCGACCTCAAGCACCCGTTTATTCGAGATTTGAAGAGGGGCCCCCACCAGGATCGTTTTAAGAGCATCCTGGCCTGCTCGTTTGGGCAGCATCATTGTTGGTCCAAGCGGGAGTTTGAGAAGCTGAACTGCTACGAGCACTTCTCCGCCATTGTCACCAACCGCCCCTGGCACCGTCTACTATGCATTCGCCAGAAGGTTTACCACGAGCTCGTGCTTGAGTTCTACACGACCTTCAAGCACGCAGACACGGAGGATTGGAAGGACGGAGAAGCCGCAAGTTCAGGCTCGGCGGTGCACCTCGATCCTTGAGCTACCACGACCTCGCGACCGCCCTCGGCCTCGGCCTGGCCGATGATGAGGAATACATCACCGAGCTCACCGAGCCAGAGGGGGTGGACTTCAAGACACTGTACACCCGCCTCGCTCGGCCAGGCCAGCGTCCCTTCGTGGCGGGGAATACGAAGGCCAGCACCTTGCAGCTCGACAACCGCATTCTCCACCACTTGCTGGCAAAGTCCTACACTCCAGCCTCGGACAGTGCCAACGCCATCACCAGGAGAACCATGTACTTCATCCAGTCCATGCGCCAGGGGGATCATCTTCTACACTTGGGTTCTGTGGTGGCAAGAACCTTCGACAAGAGTGCTTCAGAGCTGAAGAGCCTCCACTGCACTCCCCTCATCACTCGCCTGGCCACCTACTTCCAGATATCACTGTAGGGGTGCACAGAGCAGGGGTACACCAGTGTCTTTGGCGAATATATGATAGGTCGCATGCACCTGCTTCGAGAAGAGCGAGGAGTTAAGTGGATCGAGGGGTTTCCTCAACCTCAGATCCCAGCGGAGGACCAGCCGGAGGTTCCTGAGGATGCGGCTGATGAGGATGTCCACCCCAAGGATGTGGATGATACTGCTGCCGGCCGCCCCACCACCTTCGAGTACGGGGGTGGAAGTTCCACTTTCCCCGGCCAGGACTACTTCGCTCACTAGTTCGAGCAGCTGCGTCTCCTGAATCAGCAGCTCTTCGATCATCAGCGCCAGTTCCAGCAGCAGTATTCGGCTCACCATGCCGAGTACCAGACCCAGATGGCTGCTTATGATGAACGTCTTGATCGGATGGAGACCCAGCAGGGGGTGACCCTGGCTCGCATCGAGAGGGAGCAGGCCCGATCTCGGCATATGCAGGAGGTTCAGCAGCACCTGCTCCAGCTGCTACCGGGCGAGCAGCCAGTCTGGAGGACTCCCTGGGAGGACTCTCCACTTCCACCTCCACCAGCTGATGATGATGATGCATTCATGAATGACATCGATCTGGAAAACCTTGGCGACGAGTAGGCTGTACTTGTCGCCCCTCAGTGTTTGTTTTTGTTTTAGACTTTTTATGTTTGCTCCATGTGTTTGAGGAGCGTGAACTGAGTCTGTCGTTTGTTTTTGTCCTTTTGGTTTTCTTTTGTGGATTGTTTATTTTGTGGCCATCTGGGTCAACTCTGATCCCTAACGCACGGTGTGCTAGTGTGTTCTTGATGTTCCCTTAGTGTAGAACTGCCCGTTTGTTCCATATGTTCCCCGCTGACTGGTCCACTTCCAGTCTCCCGCAGTACTTCAATACGATAACATCGTTCCCCTTATATCTCCCTATGCTCCATTGAGGGCAATGTCGTGCTTAAGTGTGTGTGTGTGTGTGGGGGGGGGTGCTTTGTATTGGTTGGAATCTATATACCTGTGCTTGGAGCTTAGTCCGCTGTCCAAATCTTGAGATTTGAGGGCTCCAAGTACGGTTGTTTGATCATATTGGCATTGTGTTTTGATTGGTGAATTGAATGGTTTTCGGATTAATGCATGACAACTGGATTGTGACTAGGACAACCTATAATAATGACTGAGACGTGCAGTAGGATTGTGTAGGGGTTCAGTTTTTCAACTGTTTGCTTACCAACTGTGACTTGGATGGATCAATTTTTCTTGACAGTCGTTTATGCATTTAGTTCAGGGAATCAGAATGAGAGATAGAGCATATAGGTAGCCATGTGAGACTTGAGCTGCTCGTTTCTTTTTTGTGCGATAGTTCCCTCTTCCATGATGTGCAGCATTCACGTTGTCATTAGCTAAGACGATGGAGGCGTAGGATTAGCCCACGACCAAATTGACTGTCCTGATGTGTCATACCCCCTAGTCAGCCCTTTGAGCCGTGTGTTATCCTTTCTTTCGGTCTAAATGGAAAATCACCCCTTTGCATCTTTTAGAAAGTTGCACAGAGGGGTTTTTGCATGTTCTCTGCTATTTCTGCTAAATATAATGTGAGAGTTGGAGGTAGTTCTTAAAAAGTTGGGCAGGTGTTTGAAAAATGTGCAGAGGTGGTGGTTCTCTTATGAAATGAAAAAAAAAATGAAAGAAAAACAAAGAAAAAATGAAAGCAAAAGAGAGCGACCACCAAAAATATAAGTAGTGCCCATTAAGTAGTGTTTCTTAGCAGTCTGGCTTAGAAATACTAACATTTATGTGACCTCCTTCGCTCTTGTGCTCTGAAGAATTTGAGTAATGCAGAATAGCAGAAAGAAAGTACTGGTTTGATTGACTGTGAGTTTGTTGGGTTTGGAATTGTGGAACCTTGTGCTATGAATACTTCCACCACCTAAAAGGCCTTTTTCCCATGTCCAAGACCCTAGCCAGTCACTTGAACCTGTGTCTAAGACCTCCGAATTAGTTAGTGATGACACCCATTTTTTTGAGCTCTAACACTTAGAGGCTGCCGTGATGGTGAAGAGATGTTAGGGATTGAGAGAATAAGTATGCACATTTTTCGCATCAAATTGTCCTGACCCCACTAGTCGAGAGTGAGTGATTCATTTCCTTGTTCTTTACACTCTTTACCCAGGTGAGGACCTAGATGGCTCGGTCTTGATTCTGATGTCTTGAGTTTTATGCATGAGTTGACTGTCTTTAGTAAGTAGTTGAGTCAAGTCTATGTTGGTTGATGAACAGAAGGGAGACTCCTCCTTTATTCGATTTTGCTGCACTCGAATGTCTTCTGTGGTGGTTGTCCAGGTTGCTATTGAAGTTGTTCATGTGTTGATGTTTGAAAGCCAGTATGATTCACGTGTTTCTGTGCCTATATGATTTGTCCCCAATGTTGGTATGATTGAAATATGTGAGCTTACCTTGTGTCTGACTTGGTTTGCTTGGGGACAAGCAAACGGTTAAGTGTGGGGGAGTTTGATAAACCGTTAATTGCACATGTTTTTACCCCTATTCTTGAGCCGTTTGAGATGTTGATTCTCGTGTTTTAGGCCGATTTCACGCTAGGTTGTGCTTGTTTGTGATATTTCAGGTCCTAGTACGTGAATGAAGGTTTGGGAACGAGTTCGGGGTCGATTGGACGAAGTTTGGACGTTTGGCGAGAAGCTGAGAAGCCACACGGGCATGCCTAAAAGCCACACGACCGTGTAGGGGACCCCGGTGAAGACTAGTCGTCTGCCGGGTAGTTAGACTGAGAGGGTTTGGTCAGCTTAAGAGATTCCAAGCTACTGTCGGATCTTCCGCAGTCTAATCAACTGTAAATCAACCCAGGGTAATTACAACTGAGACCTAACTAAGGATCTAGGGGGACTCATTCCCGAGTGACTCTTCCTTTGCTTGAGAAAACCGAACCAATTCCTGCTTTCTTTCTGCTTTCAGTTAAGACCAAAATCAATCGACTAGTTTGCTAGATAATAGATAATCACGGAGTAGGCAGTAGATCTAGACCCCGGGTTGATATTTAGAACTTGCCACTTTATTGCATTCCCGGACTGCGATTACACTTGGTCGCAGTTTGGTGTTGTGTTTTGGCGTGTCAGATCTAGACCAATATTTGGCTCGACGGCACTAAGAAGCCAAGTAATAACTTGGGCATTATTTGCTGCCCAATCAGCCTGCCCTTGATCAGAAGCCGAAGACAAGGGTTTAGCTGCCTTGCCATCCAAGTATGAGAACAACCGCTTACCCTCGATGAATATACGGAACTGAAATTCCCACAAAGGAAAATTCTTTCCATTCAACCGTGTAGATATAGACTCCTTCATGCTGTCCATGGCAACTTGGAATAAATAGAGAGACACAGTAGTAGGAAAAACCAACACGTACCACAAGAACAAGAGAGGAGATACACGCCTGCTGCTAGAAACTCAAAAAATCCAATAACCAAGATGCAGCACACGCGGGCAGCAGCAATCCAGAACCCGAAGATAACAAGCAAAACACGATGAAACAAAGACCCAAACGCAGCTGATCACGATCGATTAAACACGAGGAACTCTGCAAGGCTCTGATACCATGTTAAACACTCACGATCAAAGATGCATAAGAATAAAGGACACGAGATTTTTAACGTGGTTCGGCCTCTCAGAGAGACGTTACATCCACGGTGGTTATCATCTACTTATTATTCATCTGCTACAAACCGAAAATTAGGCTTTTATAGCTAACACTCACGCAAACCCTAACCACATAGGCTGCATGATAAATATCATGTTTAGTCCATACAAAACTACTATTTACAATAGGACCCTAAACATGTACATATTTCAACAATTGTTAATCGTGAGCACAACGTTCCACAAATGACTAGTTCATGAGTTGGTTTTTGTTTGAACATGCGCATAACTCGATTTATTGTAAAGAAATAATTTTCTGATATTCAAATTATCAAATCTCACAGTATATGTGTTCCACCTTTGAATTTGACAATGCCCTTCCCAACTTTTGCTGATATGCTTACCCACCAATGAGCATAAACTTTCACGTGATAGCTAGTAGTGGAGAGCTAAGCAAAATCATCAAAGTAAACTAAGTGAAAGCTAATTAAAGCAACCTAATTAATTTGCCTACTAACCCAACTTAAGTGATTCATCAAGTGGGCGACCCAACCAAACGAAAACAAGAAGCCGCATGTATACAAAATAGTCTCTCGAACACATTACTTAATTTATGAATGTCGTGTCGTTTGCTGGCCTTTACTTTTCATGCACGAAAGAAGCAAAAGAACCATGTTTAAGCACAGGAACTCGCATAATGGACAACAATGGTGGGGTCGAAAGCTGGTGTTTCTTGTGTCGTTTACTTTGGACAGGGAATATATGCAAATATCTTGAAGTTAGGAGTAGGTTCAGAGAAAGTTGGCCAATATAGTGAAGTGGGTAGTGACAAGTTCAGAAAGTACGATGTACCAATGGTAACTCATCTAGGGAAAGGTTATTGCCCTAGTGCTTTTCCAAGTCACAGAATCTCCTTTCTCATACCTGTCATGAACCAGTTGGTCTCAATAATTCGAGTTGTTGGGAAAGATTCAATTGTAGATCATATACCACAACACTAACACGCTCCCTCAAACGAAAGCCACTCACAAAGGCTTGAAGTTTGCACAGGTCTGAAGACAAGAATACCATGTGCTTAACAAATGGGGGTCATCGGGAATCGAACACAAGACCTCTCGGTCACAGAAGGCTCTGATACCATGTCAAGAACCAGTTGATCCCAATAACTCGAATTGTTGGGAAAGGTTCAATCATAGATCATATACCACAACACTAACAATACCATGATTCTTTTCTTCCTTTGTCGGATCTGTTTTAGTACATATGTCGATTCGGTTCATTTGCGGTGGTGGTATGATTCGTCGTACAGGATTTTAATTCAGCACTAGGAGTGGACATTCTATCGAGTAAGAGTTAGGGTTAGATTGGATAAGAGTGGTTGAAGATAACGGTGGGTAAGCCCGACCGGAGAAATGAATTGGGTTGTGCTTGTAGGCGTGGATATGGGGCTCTAGGTTGTGGACCGGTAGTTAGTTCAGTTGTTTAGTTTGGAACCTGATTGTTCGGTCTGTTTCAAATCAGAGCTGACCAACATCTAACAGAATTTCGACCTGAATGGTAAGTGTGTTTGGTTTGAAAATTTGAATTATTGGTTCGATCCGAGTTTATCGAACCGGATGCCCCAAGTATCCACCCCCTACTTGCGAGTGCCAAGCAGAGAGGCAGAGACCTTTATCAGCATAGTAACCAAGCTCATTGAGCAGCCAGGCTACGAACAGAAAAGCCCATTAAAATAACCGTAGCATCTTCAGTCTTGAAGCCATTTGCTCTTCTATTTAGTCGCCCACCCTAGTGACTAGAGTAGTTAGGCATGTTCTCAGATTGGGTTTTACAGGCTGCACTTGTTGGGCTCAGTGCACATTTATGGTAACCCTTTTCTTGGCCTTTTCCTTTTCTCAATTCTTTTCTAATCACTGTTAGTGATGTCAATGAGGTGGATTTC